GTGAGTGGTATCAAACTTCTTATCTTACTTTAGAAAAAAAAGTGAAGTGTGAGTGTAATATTGTCTACAGTGTTGTGCCAGTTTGCATTTGTACATATTGTAGAATCACGTGTAGTGCAGCTGAACAAACCTGTTTCTTCTCTTTGTGTGTGTGTAGGTTTGCATGATAACACTGATAACATAAGTACTGCATTTATACATTTATATAACGAGGTTACAGTTCGCTGAATTCAACATAAAAGCCCTTAAAGCCAAAAAGATTTCATGCTGTTGGTGCCAAATTGAATTGGCTGTAGTCTGGACTGATGAAGAGTGTTGTATTAAGATGAATGTTGTGTAATAAATAGTCAAAGCTGATCCTACGTAAAGGATGAGGTGATATCTGCCTCTGAGTGAGGACACGGGAGGTGAAATGAACTGACAGAAAACTCGCTGAAATTCACTGGGGAGCTCATGATGTCAGCTCAAGAGAGTAAATGTGTGTCTCTCTCTCTCTGTGTGTGTGTGTGTGTGTGTGTGTGTGTCCATGGTTCGATGGACGTCTATAATCTGAACCATGTCCTTCTGAGGATTATGCTAAGCGCGGAGGCTGTTGCCCTGGCAACATTAGCTTACAAACATTCATTTAGTGCTGCATGACCCTACATAAACTGCCATGACCTCCCAAGTAAACATATATTCTCCCAGTGAACGGGGAAAGATGTTTGGATTTAGGGTCATAATAAAATGACTATCACCAGTTTAGGTCTTTATAAGCATTTAAAAGTTGTTTTTTTTAACAGCTATTTTAATAAATCATAAAAGATTTCCTTCATTACTTATTACCTGCTAACATAGGCTCGTTTTATCTTTTTAGCTCATAGTCAAAAAGGAAAATCTACTTTTGGATTGAAAGCGTCCTATTTTGGGAGAGACATAGCATCCTCTATTCTGCCCCTTTGTGAAGCTTTAATACCTCCAGTGTGATTAAATGTATCTCTCAAGACTTTTTTTGCTTATTGCCTGATCCAGCTGATTGAAAGGCCATTGATTAGGTCCACTTTAGCAGCAAATATTCTGACTGCTTATGTCTGTCCTCAAAATGTTATATATATATATATGGTTGCAATCTGTAACTTCTTCACTGGATGCAACAGAATCCCACAGACTGGTCCTTTAATAGATAACTTATAAAGCGTTTGTTGTAAAGATGTACCAAAAGAGGTGATGACTCCTCTTGAATGCCTCATGGCCATTCTTTTTACGAATTTCTTTATTCCTCTCTGAGTCGAAGTAGTAGTGGATAAAAGAGTCTTTAAATGTGTTAATAACAGCAGGGAAGAGTGTATTGATCTGGCCCAGAGGGCTGCATTTGTTGAAATTGATTTACACAATCAAAGTCGCCCAGAGGGTCTCCAGAACTGAGGAGAGGATGCTGGATGATCTCAGCATCTGCTGAAGTAAGTGCTGAGTCAGTGTGAACAAAATCCTTTACAGTGGCCAACAGATAATGTTTATGGTCTTCATACAAGCAGCTGGAATGATGCTTCAGCTGAGCTACACATTTATATCTGTTGTCTCTCTAAGAACAACCTCCCTCCCTGTATTTGTTGGATTACTGTAATCACGAGTCACATCAAACAGTACCCCTTAGAAAGTATTTCAATAACTTGAAAATATCAATACCAAAATGTCACGTCTAAAAATATCAGCTAAAGAAAGAAAACAGCAGGGAAGTCGCTGTGTTGTCTCTGTCTCTCTGCAAAATGGTTCTCTAGTGTAAAGAAATCATCTTATATTTTTTTTTCTGCATCACAAAGCTGAGACGTTCGTGTCTTTCTCCCTGCCTGTGTGTGTGTGTGTGTGTGAGAGAGGCGCTGTAAAGCTTTGTTTGTTTTTCCATAGTTGTGCAGCTGCTGTATTTGATAGTTTGATTGTCACCATATCGTGCATTAGAGCAGCTCACAAAATCAGATTATATTTATAATTCATTTGTAGAAACTGTGAACACCACTGGCAGATTTAAATCTCTTTTATAACATTAAGGAAAAGGTTTTTCAGTAAGTGCTTCTGATATTCCCCTGAGCAAAACATTGCATCCCTGTGTTGCTGCTCGGTAGAATGGTTGTTCCAGACATTTTTCAGGTGTTGAACGTGTGAGTCTCACTGTGTTTCAACTTATACTGCTGCTGCTGTGTGTAAATGAATCCTTTATGTTCCCGATGAACATTTCCCAAACACATCTCAACGGACTTGAGATAACTAATGCATCACATTGAACACTGTCTCCATAGTAGCTTCCTGTCTGTATATTTGTTATCTTATCTTCTCTGACTTTGAGGCCTTTAATAGTTGAGTGTCATCTGACTGTAGTTGAACACTGCCCTCTAGTGGCAGGAAGGACACAAGACTGTCTCCAGACACCTTATGTTGAACAAAGTAATGCACTTTTTCATCTCATTTTAAATCAGTGTATAACATCATTTACAGGATGCATTTAGGGAATCATTTGAAATGTTCTTTTCAATTATTTGAACGTCTGCTTTTGCTATAAGGATGTAAAACTGTTTAAATCTATAGTTGTCTTCCTCTTTATCCGAATGATAAATAAGATTGGAGATGACACTTATTAACACTGTTAATCGACTCTACGTTGTGGAAGTGTTCTGATAGTGAGAGCTCACAATGGACTAGAGGAGAGCCAGAGATTAATTGTGAAATCAAAATCAAAAGAATTAAATCAACAACTGGGTGTGTGAGCTTCTGTCAGCAGAGTTGTTCCTCACACCTACAGCATCACTTTGCTGTTGGGTTGTTTCGGGTCAATATAAAGCCTCTGTGTCTGGCTCTGGATAAGAGAGACTACAAAACAAGATGCATTTAGACACTGAAAGCAAGTGAGATCCTCAAACAGAACCACTGACAGTACATGAACCCAACACAAAGAGAATTCAGGAACAGGCGAAGCTTCAGAATAGATGCAGGAAATGATGGATGAAGGGGAAGTTTGTGTTTTACTGTAGCAGGTGTGTCAACCCTCTGGTGCTCCTGCGGGAGGAGGGAGGAGGTGAGCTGGGAGGAGAAAGGGGAGACATGCAGATGTTTTGTTCAGCAATCAGCTTGATGAACAGGGTTGCTGCTGCAGCCCCATGGAGCAACTTATCACCTGGAAACATTTAGAGAGAACAACTCTGGTTTCAAAAAGTGAGGAAGGACAGCAAACAAAAATGAAGAAAACTGCAGGAGTAGAACTGGAGCTCACCAAAAAGAGAACTGACAGACAGAAAATGAGCAAACATCCTCTTTGAAAGACAAAACCAACTGACTACTACACAACAGAAGCTCATCAGACGCACCATAAAGATGATTAAAAACTGATCCCAGAGCTTCAGACCCTCCAACCCAACATGGAGCAGAAGAAAAAGGAGACACCAGAGTCTGTTGAAGATGGTCAGACACTTCTGCAGCTGGCTGACTGGCACTCTGTCAACAGGTACTGTCAAGTTAGAGGAAGAGCTGACAGGAAATAAATGTGTCACCTGACTGTTTGATTCACTGCAAATATATTTTTGTTGAGTTTATAATTATAGATATAGATTGAGACATAATGTATAATGTATGATATTTCGTGGGTGAAGAGATGAAATACATGGGTTAGATAAATAATTTAAAAAAATGGAGAGTGAACATGTTAATCATTGATAATTGAGGAGTGCTGATGTGTTCCTGTTGAATACAGCATATTCATTTAAGTGGTAGTCAGTATCAGCCATATTCTGTGTTATGGTTGGTAGTTCGCTGTGGCTGCTGGTGTGTTGGACACACAGACAGAGAGCTGGTTGTAAGAGCGGTGCAGAGAATCATGAATGTTTTTCTAAAAGCTCTGTACAGTGGACCATGATGAACTCCGGGTCGCTATATTGTTACAGCAACTGTGTGTGTGTATGCATATACTTGTCACTTTTATGTCTCTCTCTCTCTCTCAGCTTAAACAAACCAACCCCACTGAACTGTTGGTGGGTCAGTTATCAGACGCAGTTCAAACTCACAGATGAATCATAGTAGAAGGTTGCCGTTGGTAACAATGTCGGGCTAAGTGTTGAGAAAATGTGCACAAATTGATCTCATTTTCATTTCATTGAATAGTGCAGCCATATATAATATTTAACTGTGTCTAAACATCGAGGTCATTTATTTGCCATTTTAAATGATGAATAAAAAGCCTTAATTCTTTGATATAGCCTTAATGAAGAGCTGGAAATAGATAATAAAAACAATAAATAAAGAATATACACTGTATGAAGCTGTCAGTCAGTCTGAATTTGATTATTTTAACATTCATCAGGTTACTTGAGGTCAAAATGAAGAGAAAACTGTGTTATGGGGGTTAACTTGCCCTGGCTGTTGTTCAGTCGGTCCACCACTCTGGTCCAGACTGAATCTTTTCAATAACTATTGGATTTGATCTTTAGACCACACATTTAGACCACGCTCTGTATGAGTCAGCCCTCGCATGCTGAATGCTCGCCAAACAGCTTTAATCTGATGGGTCACACTGGTTCAAAGCCAGGTCAGCAAACTAATTTGAGCGCACTAAGTTGCATGGAAAAGTCATTCAGTACTTGAGTGTAGTTTGGCCAGTGTTTCATCCATTTAACATGCTGTTTCTCTATGTGGGCCACTGTATCTGCCTCTAATCTCTGCTGTGATTGGTTGTTTCCAGGTAATCCACCATCCAAACCCAATAAAAAGACCATAAAGCAGCGGTTCCTCAAACTGCTCCCCTGCTATCGCTCTGGCTCCAGCACTTCATCTAATCAAAGCAAGTGTCAGGACACACAAGTCCATCATCACTCAGATCCCCCCTCATATTATTTAGTCACTAGGAAAATACTTATTCTCTAACTAACTCTTACATTTCCTCTTAATTTTCTCTACTTTCTCCTGTTTCTCTGGGCAAGGAGTCTCATATAAGCCCTGGTGTATCTCTGGAGTAATGGTTTCATTTCTCCCTCCATCCCTCCATGCAGGAAGTATAGCTGATGATGCCGAACTGTCGACAGTGTGCTACAGACCGGAGGGGCTCGACCGCCTCGTTCAGCAGACCAACTTCACCAAGAAAGAGCTGAAGGTCCTCTACCGGGGATTCAAAAATGTCAGTCAAAGATGTGAATTGTACATTTTTTACTTGTTTGAATGACCCCGTATGTGAATATAAAGTGCTTGTACACAATGTGGATTTAAAAATTATTCACACGCGTGTGTGTTTTTTATTGACATACGTTTGTGTTTCTTAATCCCCACAGGAGTGTCCCAGTGGTGCGGTGAATGAAGAGACTTTTAAAAGCATCTACTCCCAGTTCTTCCCTCAGGGAGGTCTGTCAGATCCTCTTCCTTCAACTCATGTTTTTTAATCTTTATTTAACATTTTACCTGCAAAAAGTCCAAAGAAGTGCTTGGAGCTTTTAATAAGGCAAGATCTAGCGTCCTCATCCTCTAAAAGGAAAACAAAAGCAGCAATTGATGTGTTTCTACAACTATAAAATCAGAAACACTATTCATCCGGTGTTTAAGTGTTTACCCAGATTAAATTATAGATTAAAGACTATAAAATGTGTAGTCCAGGAAGACATTGAACTTCAGGTGTGAGCCATATGACCTCCCATGTAGATCTGGAAGAGAACCAGCCACACAAGCACAGAAGAGACAGCACAGCATTCACACAGAGAGGCTGAAAAACACATAGCACACATCCAAACAATTACGTTTTTAAAGCGTGATATAAAACCACAAGGTTTAAGATTATCTCTGAACATTCTCATAAACTCAGAACCTTGCTGACTCTTCTTTGAGCCCTACAGCAAGTAGACTACAGTATGACTGCCCGACTCTGTCAGACTCGGATTTGCTGCACTTACCTTATTTGTAGGGATTAGAATGGTCACTTTGTATTCTCTTTCATTCAGATTCGAGTATGTATGCACATTTCCTGTTTGAGGCTTTTGACACCAACAACAATGGATCGGTCAGCTTTGAGGTGACTTTTCCATCCCTTCAGTCCCTTCAGTCCCTTCAGTCTCCAGCCAAATGGTTTTTTCCTCCTGAATTTCCCTCACTTCTGTTCTCTTCCTTTACACTCCGTAGTGTAAATCCTGTAATTTTTCTGCTGATTTATCGTAAAGACAACAATCTTTTTCACTGCTCCACACTACCATATGTCTTTCTATGTAAAGTTCATTTATTTAGCAGCAAAACAGACGTTTTCCTATGAACTTTCTAGGCACAATAAATGAATTAAAAAGTCAGATATCCTTTTCCTAAAATCACTTCAATATGTAACTCCTTCACTGTCTTTACTTTGCAGTACAGAGACTGACAAAAGTATCTTATTCTGTATCTAGTTTGTATTCTGCTACATATTGCTAAAACATATACAGTATTTCTCTCTTTAACTTCCCTGTTTTTCACCTTTTGACTCACTCCTTCGGATCTTTCTATCACCTTCCTGCCTTCACTCATGGCTTAGTTTTCTTGTTCTTGCTTTAGGACTTTGTTATGAGTATGTCCATCATCCTGAGAGGCTCCGTCACGGATAAACTCAACTGGGCCTTTAACCTGTACGATCTCAACAAAGACGGCTGCATCACCAGAGAGGTACTTGATCCATTTTGTCTTTCTGTTTGTATGAAAGCTGAGTCTTGTGTTCTGCAGGCAGCTCTTACTGACGCTTGATTTGTCCTTGTTTCTTTTCCTCAATTCTGTCTGCGCAGGAGATGACAGACATCATGCACTCCATCTATGACATGATGGGGAAGTATACCTACCCCAACATGAAGGACAGTGCTCCCAAAGAGCATGTTGACAACTTTTTCCAGGTAAAACACACAAATCATCAAACCGTGCTCATCCCCCAACACTAAACTCAAAGTGAGTTTTTATATGTACTGTAATTTTTATATCTGACCAGAACCACTTAACTGAATCACTTCATATGAATCCCTCATAATGTACTGGTACACCATGTACTGTTTATTATGATGACACAGGTTCAAGTTTGCACATGCTGTAACATGAAGCCCTAAAACACTATGCACCAGGTTGTTTTTCTGATCCCTGTTTGGCAACACAATAAACCTCATTAATGTGCCAAGAAACGTAGCAACGTGCCAACAAAGGGCAGTGAAGAAGACTGTGAGCATGAATGTACACAATGCAGGTTAACACACATTTGGTGAGAAAACTCCACATGGTGTCTTTGAATTAACCTTCTGTGAACTTCTGTGTCTGTGTGTTGCATTTTCCAGAAAATGGACAAGAACAATGATGGAGTGGTAACTATCGAGGAGTTCTTGGAGACTTGCCAAAAGGTCTTTTGCATCAAATGTTTTTAACCATTTCAGATGTGCATTTAATGACCTCCAAAAACCTCCATTTCCACCTGCAGCTTTCTGACTTTCTAACTTTGTCCCCTTGTTTCTCCCTCCAGGATGAAAACATCATGCAGTCCATGCACATGTTTGACAATGTGATCTAAGGCTTTGGCGGACACAGACAGGAGATTTTCCCCCCTGCCTGGAGCTCATCTGCAGTTCGGAGCCAGAGTGCACGGTGTTTCTGGGCCTTAACAGAGTGGTGCAGGGTGCAAACAGCAACAGACTGAGGATATCTACCCCCAAAACCTGTGAACCCTTGTGAAATGTATTTATTTATTTTTTCATGAAAAGTGTATAGGAAGGCATCAAAAGATAGATTCTGGTGTTTGAGCTGTACAGACCGATTTGAACAAGCATATTTAATGCTGTAGAGAAACAGCTCAATAACAGGAAGGATTGATGAACAGATGGCTCTGCTATGGCCTCTTCACTCATAGAAGTTATGATTATTATATATTTTTTCTCTATTGCATGAATGAATGCACAGACACATGGAAGAAACTGAATAATGCTCAAAATATCACACACTTGCTATAATCACAGTTGTACTAGTCAAAGGACGGCTCTAATAAAGGGATGAAGTTTGAATTCAAGCAATAATCTAACATCAAATCTTCTCTGTCCTCACATTTACTGTAATACTGTATATTGTGTTTTTCTATATGGACATGGTAACAATGATGATGAAATTGAATAAAACCACAGTTGCTATGCAAAACTGCATAATTATTTTTATCAATATTTTCTTAGGAAAATATTTTACATCAATGTTTCCAATCAGCATGTAATGATCTGTTTCTCCAGAGGCTTGAATGAAGCAACTGGTTCAAGTACAAAGCCAGCACCTAAAATAAAGCACTCAACAATCCTTAAATACTGTTTGGGAGATAAAAAAAAAATAAAAAAAAATATGTTGCATTGATACTACTGATACTATACCATACACCATTAAGACCTTACAGAATGAAAAAATAACACTGGAGTCTTGAAGGACGTTTTCATTATGGGTGTAATAAAAGCTTTCAGAATATATATATATATTATAATATATAACAGGAAAGTCATTTCTGGTTTTAACTCAATAAACTTGGACACCATTATATGTTTAATATATCCTTTATTTTTATTAAACAAAATTTCAGTAAAAACTCTTATTAAGTAGAAAGACAAATTTCCCTGTCAGTAGTTTGCTCCAGCTGTAGGGCCGACCCCGACTACATTATCTCACGCTCTGGACTCATGAATGAGTCAATCTGGTGAACACATCTGTAAAACCACGTTGTTCTCCTGCAGATGATTACAGTCACATAGGATATTTTCTTTAAATTCAGTTTATAAGGAAAGACATCTTTGTTAATATTCTGGTAATGCCGGATAATGTGAACCGTCCCTAGTGAATAACTTATAAAAGATGAGAAACTATTCCTAAAAACAAACATCTACACTCCAAAAAGTAATCCACATTTCAGCTGATTACAGAAGGGGGGAGGCAGCCCTACGCTGCTCTCACAAAAAGGTCCATCAGAGACCTCCACATCTCCTCGTTTGTTCACTCCTACTGAATTAGTGCCGCCGACTCTTAACTGTTGGGTCACAGCGGGAGAAAGTTGACAGTATATAGTGTCAAAACTACAGCATAGACAGTAGTGTCTGTTACAAAGGCGTTAAGAAAGAAACAGAGCGGTGAGCAGGTGCACCGTGCACGTTGAGCCACCTCTGGCAGTGTTTTCAACTATTATTCTCTTTTTTTTCTTATTTTTTCTTAAAAAAGGAAGCTACATGATTATCGTCACAAAATAAAATCTCTTTGGCATAGAATACCCATCCAAAAGCATGAACACACACACGCACACATGCACACTTTTAAAAGGTTCTCAAACAGAAACCTAGAAGCATTGTCACTGTCAGAATTATAATCAGCAAAATTATGCTATAAAACAAAATTGAGCCCTGTTAAGATTATGAGTCCCGTACTCGGTGATAATTGCATATATTACATCAGGCTGAGAGCAGAGGGAATAATCTCTACTGACGACTATATTCTCTTCTTTGTCCCATTACGTCCCACATCCAGTCCTCCGCTTTCTTCTCCACCTTTCTTTCTCCTCTGGCTCTGTAAGAAGAACAAAAAAAGACATGATGAGAAAAACCACTTTCAGCATGCATCTCAAGCAGAGCTCGAAACATCAGCCTTTAAAAAGGCCCTGAACTTTTTTAGTGAGCAATTGACTGTATTCTAATTGTGTTTTGGTCTGAGCTCTTCTTACTGGTTTGTACTGGGTTGGAAAACAACAAACAACACCCATCACGAAAACAGTCACTTATGTTTTGGCGGAAGAAGCATTTCAGATTCACCATCTGAATTGCTTTGCTCACCTTATAGGATAAAAAAATGACTACGAAAAGAAATAAATTGGAAAAGATCTTGCTTCCTATCACAGTCAAACTTTGGACAAAAATGTAATTTTTCCATTTATTTGCTTATCTCCATATATCCATAACTGTTTTTTGTAGATGTGCTAATGAAACATCTATCATTTATCTTTTCAGTGCAAAATAACTTGATTTAAATGTTTTCAATAGCACTTATCTTACGTCACTTTTGCCTCAAAGATATCATTTGTTACTATGACGATAAAACAATGAGTTTGGTCTAGACCTGCTCTATTTGAAAAGTGTCCTGAGATAACTTCTGTTATGAAATGGCGCTATACAAATAAAATTTAATTGAATTGAAATGATTGACCGACACTCATTTCCTAATAATAATATTGTATACATGTCTTATTTACTTTAACTTGTTCACTTATATTTTATAAATACTTTTAGATTGTCCTGCTGAATGTGAGATGAGCACTCTTGTATCTTGTACTGGTTGTGTACCCGACTTGCTATGTAGAAGTACGGTTTTGTTAAAGAAATAGCAGTTCGTCAATATTTAATGAAAATATTTTTGGGGATATTTAAATTTTAACCAACATACCCTGATTGGCTGAGGTAACGTTTGCATGCACTTACCTTTAGGTCAGTACTCGGGGTACACTTGTCTGTCGTAGACAAGGCTGTTTGGGTATTCTTCGTGCCCCATAGTTCCGTCCATGCCGTCCATCGGCATTTCAGTTCCGTATGCGTAGCCTTGGAAACCAGCATCCATTTCTGCAAGAAATAACACAGATTTGTTTTTGTTACACGTTACACACTGGACCAACAGATTATATGCCATTCGTCTTCCCTTGTACTTGGGGTTTATCTGCTGCTGTCGTCGTGATAATGCAGAATAGGAAAATTTACAAGCTAGTGGAAATGGTTTAATATTTTAGCCACATTTTTGGATCATAGTGATTATAGGGAGAGGAGTAGCTGATCTTTTTTCCCCTCAGTCTCTCTCTGCTCTGAGAGGAGACAGAAAATACCAAGGCCATACAAGGAGAAAAGTCAAGAGAAGGAAAGGAAGGGAATAAAGACAAAGATACAAACACAGATAAGGTAAGAGATTGATGGAGAGAAATCCTTTTAGACTTGGCAGAAAGGAAAAGGTAGTGGTGTATCAAGAGGAAAATATTCTAGCATAACACAAAGAAAAGACAAAGACTGAAGTGAATAAAACAACAGGCTAAAAGTATTCCATTACATACATTTGGATCAATATAATGTGATTTTGCCATATACATTAGATCTGAAGAGGACAGATTTGGGACCGATTTAAATTAGACATGAAAGTAAGAAATATGCTTGAAAATCAATGCAAACTAGGCCTTGTTGCAGGGTAATCGTTTAACTACAAAAACTATGTCTTTGATGATGGTAAATGAAAACTTTAGGCTGCAGTGGGGAGGCAATCTGTTAGCAGATTACAGCAGTTTAACACTACGGTTGCTCCCTGTGGTGGAGTGACCCAGTGCTGAGGAATGTGCTGTATGTGCACATTTCAGCCATAGTTACTCACCATCTGGATAGGGTCCTTCCATGTTGTGGGCCTGCGGAGAGGTCAGGAGAGGGCAAATGTCAACTCTTGTGTATTGAAAGCTTATTAATAGAGTAAAATGTAAACCAAGAGAGGTTTAGGAACAACAAATGGCTAAAAATCTACTTTAAATGTTCAATTGTCATGTCCTGGCAATGGGGGGCGCCAGACACTCACCATCTCCCAGGCAGCGGGGTCGTGTTTGAACAGAGAGTGTGTGAGCTCCACAGAAACTCGCTTCTTGTAGTCTGAGTTCTTATCCTCGGAGATGCGGAAGAGCACAGCTGCAGCGTAAGTAGCTGAGGGGAAAAAGAATCAGGACACATTCAGTGATGTGCAAAAACCTTCTACTCATTTTAATAATGCTACTACTACTGCTGTGTTATAGTGCGAGTGTACTGAAAGGGAGTCACATCAAGTATATATAGTAATAAAGTTTATATAGTTTTAGTGCTAATAGCATTTACTGGATGTATTTTTCCTTTTATACAACTCCCTGAGGCTTTATGGATATAGTGCATTTACTGCATCAATTATAAAACAACATAAGTCTCTGTATATGTGTGTGTTAATAAGCCCTTCAGTCATGGTACTTCCACATAATTATTTTATTAATTAATTAACTCCACATTTTTTGTTTAGTTTCTTATGTGGCATTTTTAGCATATGTCAGTGTGTAAAGAAATATCTGTAGAATGTTTCCTGCTAAAAGATCTATTTATTTGAAATTGTATGCAGTTTAAACTAGCTATATACGTAATTTATTAATATTGCACGCTATTTCAAGATTATATTCTTTAAATGTAGGCTGCAATATGTAATTATGAAATGTAGTGGAGTAAACACCGTCTCACAAATTGGACACAGTCATGTGGTACCTGGGAACTGCACTTACACTAAGAACAGCACTTGAGTTAATTGACTTTGTTGCTTTCCACCAATGGCTAAATGCTACATTACGCTAAGCTAATCGCAGTACATTATCTGGGTGTCCTACCAATGCCCTCGTTGTTGGAGTGCAGCAGCTCCATCAGAGGAGCCGACGCTCCCTCGCTGTCGATGAGCTCAGCTGACGGTTTGTCCAGGGCCAGCTCGCACAGAACGCCTGCCGCCACGCGCTTCACATTGTCCACTGGAGAGTAGAGGAGCTGGAGAAGGGGAGGAAGGAAATGAGTAAAAAAAAAAAACCAACAAAAACAAAACAAACACAAGGAAGTTAATTAACAAGAAAAGGAAGCTGGAGAGCTTCAGTTTCCTGTGTTACCTGAACAAACAGCGGAATGGTCTGCAGGTTGGCGATCTCTGCTCTGTTGATGGGATCTCTGGCCAGGATGTGCAGAGCTCCTGTGCAGCCCTCCACAATCTCCTCCATCCTCACTCCATCCTGAGGAGCAAGATGAAAAAAATAAATGTTACTGAAAGATATAGACATTCATAAATAATTCACAACTGCTAATTTTCAAAATCCCTTGAAACATCCCTCCTCTTGTACCTGGTATGTCTGCTGGGCGGATGAACCATGTTTCTGGGCGTCTTGGTGGGCTTGGAGCAGAAGGTTGACCAGACGGGGGATCACTCCAGCATCCCTCAGAGGGGCCTGGTTCTCTGGGCACAGGGCCAGGTTTCGGACCAGGCCAACCACAGCCTTCAGGCAGGGAGGAGAGGCAACAATGTGGTTATGATACTTGTACAATACTTTGGTACTGGTCAGCAAGTAAAACAAGGCTGACAAACAACTGCAAGCTTCTCTGTTAGAAATAGGAAGTGATATTTCTGTCCCCTGCAGCCTGTTCTTGTAAAACATACTGTTCCTGCTGTCATTTGCATTTCACGCTCTTCCAGGCTGATTGAGACTCTGGCCTTCTGCCGGATCTGCCATCCCCTCTGTCCATCTGTCTAGTTCTCCCCATTTTCTCTTTGGACCAAACCACTTAACTCCTCTATGTATTTGTTTCATAGTCCTTAACTTATGTTCCCTTAAACCACCTGCTTTCAGACTACCTGCTCTACTGTCTGGAGTCCTTTCTATCTTACACACCAATCCCACCTACCTAAAACAACCTACGGGCTCAAATAAGGGTCAGTTTGAATTCCCTCCCTCCCTTTCTCTGTACCTTGATGACAGGCCAGTAGTAGGGTTTGTTAAGCAGCTTGACGATGGCGGGGATGCCGTAGTGTTTCCTCACGGCGTTCTGCGCCAGCTCAGCATGTTGGTGGCGTGAAGTCAGGTGGCGCAGAGCGCAAACGGCAGGTTCGGTCACATCCTCCTTCTCGCCGGCACGCAAGATGGCGTGAATCAGGGCCTCCACGCCATTGCTCTGGGTGACCAGAGTTTTATTGTGGGCATTGTTGCATGTGAGGTTTGACAGGATGCCCGTGGCGCAAGTGAGCATGTTGAGGTCGTCTGAACTAAGTAGGCCCACCAGCACCTGCAGCAGGCTGTCCATACCCTCCTGAGAGACAGAGAGAGCGATTTCAGAAAGTTCCTCATGTGACAGATTAGGAGAAATAATAAAATCAAATAAAACAAAACATTTTTAAGAAGAGGGAAGGAAAAAAATGAAAGGCAGTGTAGAAACAGACCTCCTTGGTGGCAGCGTCAGAGAGGTTCCTGAGCGTCCACAGACAGTTCTGCATCAGACGCTGGCTGGAGCCTGTCAGGTGTTTACCCAGAGCCTGCATTCCACCTGCAGGGAACAAAGGAGTTCGATCACTCAGCTCTCAGCAACATCTTATAAAACTGTGCTGTCATGTAACTATGCGGCTAACAAGAAGCCTTTAGCCGCAGTTCAGGTAACAAAAGGTTGACACGCCTGTAAGACTACCTTGTACACACACAGGTGCATGCTCACACAGAACATATATTACATACCAGCCTCTACAATGGCGGGTTTGTTGCTGGGGCACACAGAGAGGACTTTGAGCACACGGCTTGTAGTCCACAGCAGCTTCTCATAGCTGTAGTTTCTCATGATGTGAACAAGACCCTCGGGACCCCTGTTGGCGAGGATGATGAGCTGTGCGAGAGAAAAAAAAAAGCTGTGTGAGTGTGTGTGGGTATACAAAGCACAGATGGACTGAACATAACTTATTTATAGGATCATTTTGTAAAGAAAAGCTTTTGGTTTACAATGGACAACAGTGCAGCGTGCAGGCAGATAAACATCAGTTAATCGTAACTCATTTTACTACTCTCAAAAAATAACCACACCCATACGCTCACTGTTCCAGCACCTGAACAACTCTGTTCACATGCCACACCCAAAACAAAACACATGCACGCACAAGCTTAAACAACTTTTCACAACAGTCTCACATTGCTGTCTCAGTGTAACAGCCTTTGTATCACGTGTACTGACAAATTACACACACACACACACACACCTTGCTTTCCTGGTTGCCATAGGACAGCAGCTGCAGACAGTCTGTGGTGATGGCCAGGAACTTGGGGTTGCTCTTGTTCAGCAGGGGAACCATCCTCTGCAGGCCATCGGCCAGACGGACGGCCATCTTAGCTCCTTCCTGGTGCAGCAGCAGGTTGTGGAGTGTGGTGATGGCGTAGAAGAGCACAGACTCCATGGGAGAGCTGAGGGAGGGGGAAAAAAGTTAAAGAGAAGTTATAAAAAAAGAAAAAATATATCAAGTTTATATACATTCATAATAAATTGTGACATTTTAAGTAATTTCAAATTTTTTTCCATTTCACTTAATGTCTTCTACCTGCCTCTTTTACGTCTACTTGAGTCTGGGATCTCTTACATTTACCACATTGCCAGTCAACACACCCCAGAGAATGTGCTTAAACTGCAAATGATATTGGCAGGAACAGGTTTTCCAGTAGTGAAAATGTGGGAATTACACAGCGGTTCTCATGGCTGCCTTGCAATATTGTCTGAGGCTAATGCTGGTGGTGAAATGAACATCTCTTCATATTCTAGAACGGCTTACTGCTGTTGTATCCAGTAATCATCAGTACAAACTGGGAAGTCAAACTAGGCTGCATTGTACCTGCACTCTAAACACTCTGTTTGGCATGTTTCAAAAAAGGATTCAACGAACAACCCCATGAAACGGCGAAATAAACATAGAAATGCAATTGACATATTTTCAGTGCAGTGTTGTGAAGTGGATTTTACCTTTCATACCCATACTATGAGAAAGAGTTTTCCCCAACATATATAAGTAACTAAGAAGACGACATGGATCAAAGTCATTACTGACTGAAGTAATAAAAAAATAAAAAAACTCCCTTAATCCATGATTTCTCCCTCTCTACGTCCCAATGTACCTGAGCATGCGGACCAAAGCAGGGATGCCTCCAGACTTGAAGATGGAGAGCAGGCCCTCTCTCTGGTGGGACAGGTTGTGGAGGATGCTGGCCGTGGCCCGTGCCGTCTCCATGTCGCCTGTATTCTGCATCGCCCGCACCACTGCGGCCACCATCTGAGGGGACTGCATCAGCGCACGCCGCGATGCCTCCTTGCGGGTAAGCTGGTTGACAATCTGTGCTGCCTTGCTGACCACCACCTGATGGGAAATGAAAAGGGGAGAGGACGAGTTCATTTTTACTGGTAATACAGAGAAAAAAAACAGAGAAAAACAGCAAATTTGAGAAGCTGGAACAAGAAAGTGGTATTTTGTCTTACTAAATGACAGATCATCAAAATTGTTGTTGAAGATATACAATCATTTTGGGAAATGCAAATATTTGCTTTCTTGTCAAGAATCAGACCACTCTGGTGTCTACACAGTAAATAAGAAGCTATAGCCAGCAGCCGGTTAGCTTAGCACAATGCTATTTCTACTCTTCAGCTTTCCAAATAAGTCATAACATGTGACTTAGTGAGCTTTTACGGAGCTTTGATTTAGTTTTCTCCGGACAGCTGTTGTCCTCTTGTAGCTCTTTGTGCTAAGCTAACAATCAGCTGGCTGTAAATTCCTTTGATGTCCTGTCAATTGACCAATCAATTAATCAACAGGTATGATTCTGTGCTCTTTACCGGGTCTTCATCGTTGAGCAGTTTAGTGAGCTCAGGCACAGCGCGTGTGGCCAGCTCGGCGTCATCCTGGTAGTTGATCAGATGGATGATGGCGGTTTTGAGCATCTGGGAGGGCTCGGCCAGCCGCTGGACGTTAGTCATCTGGGACGGGTCTGTCTGAGTCGACAAGATGGTGGTGCCTGCCTCCAGAGTCTCTGGGAACATTGCAGCTCGCACCCTCTGAGCTCTCGTGGTGTACATGGCTTCCATGTCTGTCAGTAAGAGAGGTGATGATAAAACAGGGCATATGTAATTAAGGCAATGGCTACAATATGCGCATATTGGCTGGTTTGGATGTTGCTTGTTGTCTTACCGGGCTCTTCTCTTGTGACAGTGGTGGTGGTCACGGTGTAGTGCTTAGAGGTGGTGTACTCGCCGTCGTCCTCTCTGACTGTGGTGGCTCCAGACTGGATGCCTGAGTCTATGCCATACATCGTCTGCTGCCACTCAGCCACCTTCTCCATGCCGTAGTCAGGCTCACCCACTGCCAAAAACAAAGAGAGGAATTGTGGGATGTCAAAGGTGTTGGACCAAAGTTTGATAAGTATGAAAAGTGTCATTAGTTTTCGTTACAATATTTGCTAACAATTAAATAAAAAAAAACAAAAACAGTGTTTTAATTGTACGCCCCATAAAAAAAAAACTTTTAACAGAAGTAACCTTTTTGTTTGTATTAAGGAAGTGACCTCAATATAAATACATGAAAACAATAGTTGGAAGTAGGAAAGGTCATGATATCCTTTAAAGGTGTTGTAGAATGAAGTGAGACAAAAGTGAACATGAAAATGCACAAGCTAAATCTAAAATCAACACATGACTATATTATTAAATGAGAGTTTGCAGAAATGTTGAAAGAGGAAATTAAATATGTTTAAATGTTTAAAAACAAGAGCTGTGAATCACTTACTCTGCATTGCCATCCTTGCCTCCCGTTTTCACAACAACGATGAAGCAAACCTAAAAAACACAAAAAAAAAAGCCCGTCAAGATCCAGTCATAATTTCTTCTGCTGTAACGATGACGCTGAACTTCACAACGTCTGCCTCTTCTCATGAAGCGATGATAAAATATTCCAGTGAGGTCTCTGCTCCCTTACACAAGACTGTCATTCAGTTTTTATATGCCACTGGAGTATGACAGCTCACAAGATGACCCTCCCGCCCCCTCCTCCCCTCTCCTCCCGCCCCCTGACCTGAAAATGACAACACGGAGCAGCAGCAGAGGCTCATGGGATAGTGAGGGCGAAGTGGGCTCAGAGACAGCTGTAAGTCAGGAATGCTAGCTAGCCAAAGTGACCTTTCACCCCGGGCCTCCGCCCATACGGCCGTGGGAGCTGCCTGCTGCTGACGCATGGCAAACAGGAACCTGCTCATCAGGTTCAGACACCACAGGGTGAAAAGTGTGTGCAAGTGTGTGTATGTACAGACGCTGAGTGTACTCCTCGTCACACACTAGCCTAAACCTTTAAGAGAATGCCTGCAAATCGACTTTAACCTAAGTTTGTCTTATTTCAAATACTACATACCATCTGTCTATAACACTTTGTTGCCTTCTGGGTTTGATTAAATAAGTATCTTGTGATCTTGTCTAGTTTTATTTTAACAGTGCTCCAGATTACGCAACCAGCACGCTACTTGTTGCTGCAAGTTTGTCTACACCTCCTACATGATCTCATTTTCCTAATAAAAAAATCATTATTCTCGCTACATTTACTCAGGTATTCGAACCTCACAGACAACTCACTGTGTCACAGTAAAAATAATCCTTTTCACCGTCGTCTACTGTATCTAATGTAGGTCTTGTTTTGCATTTTTATTCAAAGGGGCCCCCAGTTCCAGGTGAGCTACCAGGGCAGCCCCATTTTCATGTACTTCACCATTAATGCATACACCTCTGAGTGAATACGTCAAAACTGGGTTGTACCTGTTTTGCTGTAACATGCATGGATTTAACATTGGTTTTCTATCTCTACGTTTGAGCAGCCTGAAGTCCCCCACCCCAGAAACCCTCTCCATCACAGAAAAAAAAAAAAATCTGCATTCATCATAGCTGCCTGCCATTGCATGTGACATATGACCGATACAGTACAATGCATTCCCTGTGCTGGTTACAAGTGTTTTCAGATGTTTCACTGTTACGGACTGGATTCTTTGCTGAGCACATTGCAGGGGCGGGCTGTCTCGTGTCTGTGTGTGCTATATGTTTAAGTGTGCGTTAGCCGACTTCTGCAGATCTCCACAGCAAAACCAACCAACAAATACTGCTTCAAATACTTCTTGAAGCCCGGTTGTATGACAGCTGGTTATAGCTCACTACATGATTCCTGCAATAAGCAACTATTCTTATCTTCCGTCTTTACTGCTTTTAAAAAGAAGCCGGGGCTAAAAGCCACAAAGTTTAGCTGCTGCGTTGGCACAAAATGAGCTATAAACACTTCAATTACCACCTTTACCTTCGCTCACATTCACGGAAGACATTCATACTAGCGCAACTCAACAACACAGTGAGTGCTGTAATCAGAGTGATTTATGGTTTTGAAGGAAAGGAATTTGTGCAAAGATGAACTGCTTTGTCTCGCTGCCTTACACTGAAGCTGTTAATGATGCATTAGCACCACTCCCTCATCTTTTTGCCCCCTGGCTTTGCATAAGGATGTGTCGTGTTGTGTTTCAGTCCCTCAGAAGACCCAACTCACTTTGTCTCCCCCAGGCGTCATACTGTGTGTGTGTGTCACTGTAGCTTCTACAGGAGGCTTTGTTTTCCATTACAGTCTGTATGAGGAATAGACGGACTGAATAATGTGTGTGCACTGCATGTTCCTCATTAGTTTGTGTCTGTGTTGAGTTCTCTCCCTGTGGCACTTTGATGGAATAGCAACTCACTTGCAAGTCCCCACATGTTTTTGGGCCTGCATGTGTTATTTACTGTCCATCTGCAATTGTTCCAAATGAGTTCGCTTGAACCTGATGTTCCTGTACAGTCCCAACATGTTCCATTTAGGAGACTCTCACCTTCGCAGGGAGCAGCAGCTCAGTGAATTTCAGTTGTAGTGAGTCTGGCATCAGATCCTGCAGGACCAGGCCCCAGAGGACTGTCTGTGCTTGCAGCTACAGGTTACCTAACAGATAGTGCACTGACTCATAAGGGCACAGACAGAAACTATGCTTAGAATCACTTTTTAACTAAAGGTGCGGCTTCCTTTTAAACACAAGCATGAGGGCTGATTTGTCAAGATGGTAAGGGACCACAGACTATCCGCCGATTAATATGGCAGATAAATCCAACACATTCATCTTTAAGTTCTGTGTATTCCAGTGGCCTTTTTAAACCTTTTATTGATCCTCTGCTGAGGGCAAAAATACAACAAGACTTAAACAAAGCCCACGTTACTTTTTCTTTTAAGCACAACCCCAGCATGCACACCGTGTCCACACAGGACTTCCCTGTTCTCTGTAAATCAGGGACAGTGTTTGTGTAGTCTTTGTTTTCCTGGGCGAGGCACTGGGTTCAGCCAACTGTTGCAATGCTGCGACACGCCCCGCATATCGCCTAGGTAACCGAAACTCTGCTGAAGCACTGTACTGCCGGGGTTTTATCTGCTGACCCATCTGATGTCTGAAGTTATGCTCACTTGTTTACTGATAAGCGACGTTGCCTCTTGGGTTTTTTTCTTTTTACTTACCCCACAATGCTCATGACTGTGGTCCAACCAAGACAATATAAAGAAACCATTAAGTTATTTGATTTAAAATAATATACAGCAAAGAAAAAACTAAATCTGAGCCAGAATGTTGAAAAGTAAAACAAAAAAGCATAAACTGTTTCTTTCATGTCGTTCTGTTTCTGTTTTCTTTGTATATCATGATGATTCTGATGAAAGTAAAACAGTATCGGGGCTTATCTACTGATCCCTCCCCCATTGTTCAGTGCAGACTAAAAGCTGTTGGTTGCATTGTGGACCGCTGACTGGACTTTGCTCTTTACCAGTTAATGAGTGCTGCATCCTTTCACTCTCACTGTACCTTGCTCTGTGGCCGTCATTACCACCATCCACCCACCCACACAAACACGCAGTAACATGTAAGCCACACTTTTTACTCAGGAAGACACATCTCACACCCATCACTTCCCACTATCTTATTAGCCTCAGTGGATGACTTTAGGGGGCTTCTACCCAAAAAAAAAAAAAAACCCCTGCACTTTAAAACCAGGAATGTGGACCAGTGAACGCTGCCAGTGAACGAGTTGCAACAGAAAAGCAGAGATGGATACTGTTCAGCACCCGATGCTGAAACGCTGGCGTGACATTCCACACTAACATAGTATATTAGATCTGTCCTGTGTCCACGCGTAAATCTTGTGCTGCAAGAAGTACACACTTTTTCACTTTACAAACAGTAAGCTCTTCTAAACTTAAGATAACATAATCACTTACTCATAAATTGATGAAACTAACAGATACTAAGCACATCGCTACTGTGACAAAAGATGAATAACTCAAATTATGAGACCAGATTCACTATCAGACATGTCAGCCAGGGAGTGCCTCCCCAGCAGTGACAGGCTCGGTCTGAGCAAGGGCGTGGCAGCAGAGCGTGTGGGTGTATACGTATGAGTGAACTGGGAGAGGCTGAATACACCTAATGGCTAGAGGGGTTAAACTGTACATCTGTCATTTTAAAATCTCCCAATAATTAAGATGTTGTGCACTTACAAACCCAATATAGATATGAAAGACATTCCAGCAGGCCAGATTTGGACTTTGTAGGTTGAAGCTCCTCTTTGTGTCACAGAAGGAATGAATGAGGTCAGGGAAGAGGCCCGGGGGGCTGGAGATGCACTTTGGTCATATTCCAGAGTGAGTCCTAACATACATTACAGAGTTTGCAGTGATTTAGTTGTTATTTACAGCCCTGCCTGCCAAACAGGACTGTTAATAACATGTCACAGAGCTTTTTGCATGGCTTTTACACGCCTGTTTGTGAAGACAGAGCCTGCAGAAGTTAATATCAAGTGAAAAGCATACTTTGAAATTTGAGGAAATCCTGTTATTATTCCTGCCGAGAGTTAGATGAGAAGATTGATAGCGCTCTCATGTCTCTCAGTTAAATATGCAGCCAGTTAGCTTTAGCTTAGCATAAAGACTGGAAACAGGAGAAAACGGCTAATCTGGCTCTGTCAAAAGACAAACAAAACACACCTCTAAAGTTCACTAGTTAATATCTTATTTGTTTAATCTGTACAAAACCAAAGAGTAGAAATGACATCAAACAGTCCACAACTTAACACTGTGTACAACTACCAACTTCCAGAAAAAAACACAAAGCAAGAACACATTTTTACAGCAATAATTTCTCATTTGTTTTACGTTAATTGCACCTTCTCATGGTTGTCAGAACATCATGGCTTTGTCGCAGAAACGGCCTTCTCATCTGGTGCTCTGTGATTCCTAACAGGCTTGCTAATGTCATGTTGACACGCAAATAAAGCAGATGATGTTACCACACATCTGTAAAGCTTCCTGCGCCATCTGCACAGATCAACAATTGAACATATAGGCTGTCCCGCACGTGCACGCACCCACCCTGCCACATAGATGTCCCCTTACAATTAACTGTGCCTTTAACACCCTGCACTCATGCGGCCCAATCCTCCTGACGCTGTTATGGCCAGTGCAGCCAGCTGAGCCTGCAGAGCAGACAGGCTGCAGTTGACACTGTGCTCTCTGCGTCTCGTCTCCAGAGTCGGGGTTCAGCTGTCCCGATGGGACACAGCTTAACACCCCCACTAAACTCCCTGGTCCCCAAACCACACATCCCTCATCCCTCATCCCCCGCTCGTCCAACGATAGCTGCTATGGCACTGTAATGGAAGCAGTAGGGGTTAACTGGATGGCTGTTTGTTATAAATCAATACGGGAGGATGTGAAGTGGTGCACAGCTAATGGATTTATTGTGGTGGGTGACAGGAAGTGGTGGTCAACGTTATGACTCACCAACACTGCTGGGCTGTCCGGTCAGAGAGGGGAAGTTTATGAGGAGAAGCTGTACTTTCACAA